GTTGTACTAATTCCATTTATGCTTCTCATTGCTGCTTTCCCTTTTATTTATTATGTGCTGTGGAAAAGGTGGAAGTTGCACAAGCAGGCTACAGATCCCAAACTGCAAGCTGTAACCTCAAAAAAGAAAAAATCTCGAAAGTCAGGTTTCAGTAAGAGCAGTACACGTAATGAGAAGAATCAGAAAAATAGTCATAATGATGACACAGAAGCAACTGGTGTCATTGCTGACATTGGAAAGAGTGAGAAGGTTTTGGAGCTGAATCTATGCAAGTATGATAGTCTTATATATCATCGGAAGATTGGTAAGTTATTGGTTTCTAACACTGAAATAGCTAAGGGGAGCAATGGCACTATCGTACTCGAGGGAATCTATGATGGTCGCCCTGTAGCTGTTAAACGCCTCATCCAGACTCATCACGAAGTGGCTTTGAAAGAAATTCAAAATCTTATTGCGTCTGACCAACACCCAAACATTGTTCGTTGGTATGGGGTGGAGTACGATCAAGATTTTGTTTACCTGGCTCTTGAGCGTTGCACTTGTAGCTTATATGAGTTTATATCATCAGTCACCAGTTCCTACCAAAAACAATTTTCTGGAAATGACCAGGATGCCGGTTGTTTAAGTGACTGCACTGTAAAAGTTCAGTGGAAATCTGGAGACAAGGATGACTTCCCGTTATGGAAGCCCAGTGGATATCCTTCAGCTCACCTGTTAAAATTGATGAGGTTGGTTTATTGTTGTTATCGGTTTATGATTTACTTTTATTAATCTGAATTCTTTCATGTGTGTGGAGACTCACTTCAATATCAAGTGCTTTTTCTCATGGATCAGTCAATACCAAGTGCATGATCTATGGCTTTCTCAGCAACATGACTCTGAACTAATAGTCACTCTCGTTAAACTGGGTAATCTGTAAAATTTTCATTTTACATAACCATGCCTGGGAAACAGCTTCTCTTGGATTGTCTGACTCTGGGACATGTCTAACTGGACTTCTTGAATGTTTATCCAACTGTTATTCATATTTTACACTGGTCACGTCAAATTTTTCTTGAAGAATTGATCGAACAATGTGACATAGGAAATGTTCATGGTGGCTTGAAATTTTTTTATATTATTGGTGTTGGATACAGAAATAGGTAGCATATATTGAAGCTGGTTATTCTATAGCTTTTACTTCAGAAATAAAAAAATCATGTAAGGGTCCCAATTTGAACTGGAATAGACCATTAAAGTTTACATTGAAATAGTTCTTGTATATATGTACAGAATTATTTCAAGAATAATATGATGATAAATCTTTACCCCCCCCCCCCCCCCCCCAAAAAAAAAATAAAAAAAAATAAATTATGTTGACAATTGTTTAATCTTTATCATTTTGCTTAGTGAACACCTAGTGGTAACTCATGCTTTTATTAATCAAATTACACTATAAATGTGTTCTAAAAAAGCAATTATTTATAGTGGATGATGTCAGAGCAGTTTTATCATATTGATCCTTGTCACACCTTGAGAATTGAATATGGAAGATTTGTTACTACATGTAACATTGTAACTTGCAGACAATTCAATGACAACTCTCAGGCAAATGAATCACAGCCTTTGGAACATTTAAGCTGAGAATTCTCACATCTATATTGCTAAAGCATCTAATAGGCCGTTATGGGAATTTCAGTATTCCCATGAAGCCTTTGAAGTTTCTCTCATCTTTATGTGAGAGTACTATATCATTTTGATCTCACAAAATATAAAGGCAATTAGCCTCTGAATCATTTGTTGAATCACATCTTATTAATTTGTTTGCCCTTTTGAATGAATACATACTAATTTTTCGTTCACATTTCAGGATGTGGCCCTCTCGGTGCTTGCATATTAGATTCTTTATGTCTTTTACCTGCCTTTTCCTTTCACCATTATTTAGTTACAGCTCTTTTAGACGTATTTGAGAGGCATTCAGAATTAACAATTAAGCCCTTTCATGATTGCTAATGGCAGAGATATGGTTCATGGCCTTGCTCATTTGCATGAACTGGGAATTGTACACCGTGACTTGAAGCCTCAGAATATTCTTATAGTAAAAGAGAGATCTGTAAGTGCAAAGCTTTCAGATATGGGTATCAGCAAGCATCTTACAGGGGACATGTCTTCATTAACCAAAAATTCCACTGGTAAGCCTTAGTTCAGAACTTGCATTTTTTTCACTTGTAACAATTGACATTTTCTAGTGCATTACCCAGTCCCAACGCTACCTTATTTACCCTGAGTGAAGGGTGAGGAAGGTCTGCTTTTGTGCTTTTTTATTTTTCAATGTATTTAATACAAGTCCCATTCACTTTCTTTTTGTCCCAATTTTTTTGAAAAACTTGTATTCATTTCAGTTTGGAGTTGATAAATCTATATATTTCTATAGTGATTAGTGAAGCCATACGGTGGAGGCATTTCATTTGCAAATAGGGATATCTTGAAACTTTCTTCTGCATATCTATTTGCAACTATTGTACATGCATGAATGTCACTCAGCCCGTGTTATTTCTGTCCTACAATATCTGTAGGCTCTGGGAGTTCAGGTTGGCAAGCACCTGAGCAACTTCGTCATGAACGGCAGACACGTGCTGTGGATTTATTCAGTTTAGGTTGTGTACTCTTTTTCTGCATAACCGGGGGAAAACATCCGTATGGGGATAGTTTTGAACGTGATGTAAATATAGTAAACAATCAAAAAGATTTGTTCCTTATAGAGAATATTCCAGAGGCAGCAGATCTCATCAGTGCACTCCTACATCCAAATCCAGAGCTAAGGTAATGGCATCATGGTTTCCAAATTTTTGGTACATAGTAGTGGTTCCCTGATATTATGAATTTGTAAGTTCTGTGTCATTGATGTTATTTTTGTACTTCCACTGATGTCGGTGTATGCCTCTCCGTTATCCCATAGGCCAAAAGCAGTGGAGATATTGCATCATCCTTTCTTTTGGAATTCCGAGATGCGGCTCTCATTCCTCCGAGATGCCAGTGATAGAGTGGAATTAGAGGATAGAGAGGATGGATCTGAACTTTTGGGAGCACTGGAAAGTGTTAAGACCGTGGCATTGGGAGGTCTGTGGAATGATAAAATGGATAGTGCATTTATCAATGACATTGGTCGCTACAGGCGTTACAAATATGATAGTGTCCGCGATTTGTTGCGTGTTATCAGAAATAAGTTAAACCATTACAGAGAGCTTTCAAAGGAAATACAGGGAATTCTTGGACAGGTTCCTGAAGGTTTTGAGAGCTATTTCTCCACCAGGTTTCCTAGACTTGTAATTGAGGTCTACAAAGTACTACATACGTATTGTTTAGAGGAAGATATCTTTCAAAAATACTTCAAAGGCAATCAAAATTAGCTCAATCTACATATTAAACCTATGTACATATTGTAATTTATAATTATAAATCTATAACCATGAATGATTGACAAAACAGATGTAAATGCTGATCTCTTTAACTACAGCTGAATGCTGATCATGTTCTTTCTATTTCCCTTTTTCTTCTGTAGCTCATTGCCACTATTCAGAGAGTGCGTTTCTAGTAGTGGAGACTTTATGCAGTGTGATGCTTATAGTTGAATGTGCCCGGAAAAAACCTTTTCTGAAATGTATATGTTGTCAATCAGTTGGATGTTTACATGCTACAAATTTGTGTGACTTCATGTTGTACAAAGTAGCAATGATGTCCCTTAATTGAAGGCCTTTGTTTTCCAGAGTTAAATTTCCCAACAGCAATATCAAAGTGACCAACCCAAATTATTGTTCACCTGTCCTATAAATACCCTACTAAGCCAAATCAAAATGGAGGGTCCCTGAAAATGCACCAAGATAATTAGTATTCATTATGGTAATGGCACCTTTTTGTGCAATGCCTAAATCTCCATCACAAAATGTAGCTAGGCTCGTAAACAATTGTGTGTTGTAAGTGCACCATTTTTTTTTTTTGCTCTTTGTCCTACCACAAGTGAGAGTGGAAGCTATAATGATAAAAGGGATAAATGCATCTTTTTTTTACTTATTCCCTCCTCTGGCAAGTGAGTTAGTGGAACTAATGATAAATAAGGAGGATGTTAAATTGTGTAATCATTTTAGCTAAAAGTTAAAACTATTAGAGAGAAGACTTTTATTTATTTAATTATATCTTTAACACGCTTCTTCACATGCGAGCATGATCCTTACTTAATGCCAAACCAATGTCAAGCATGTGGTTTCTTTTTTTGATGAGGGCTAACAATGAGATTTGAAGCCATGATAACTGCATGCTCCTATGCAGAGGCAGATCTAAAATTTAACTTTTACAAGTTCAAACATTTAAGGCTATTAGCATTAAACTCATTATATCATAAAAGTTATGGATTTATATCTACTATTTGTTGCCATTTTTTATGAAATTCTTACATATAAATATATGCTATGTGTTGAAAGAACAGATTCAGATGAACTCATGTCAGCATGATACATCTACTCCTGCTCTTATGTCGTGCTGAATTGTGTGTCCAGGTCATGTCTCAATCCCAGTGTGCCTGATCATCCAAAAAGACTAGTTAAGCATCATTGGCTTGGTTATCTCATCTAAGCTTGAATATTAAAAAGTGCACACTTTTATTTAATTGATTGTATCTTCAACAGAGACGAGGCTTCAGGCAAAATAAGCATCAGCTACAACTGCTAATAGCACTCATCTTGCTTCAATTCACAGTTCACTGTAAGCTCCCAAAGAGCATCCATACTTTCCAAAAAAAAATTGAGGTGCAATAGACAGCCTTTGATCAATGGCTAAATCTACCTAAAGGCTGCAATTCAGCAATAAACTTTACCTTAACCCATCAAACTTAAAATGCAGAAACTACAATTAAAACACGACGACAAAATCACCACCATCCACATGAATCCATAGAAAAAGTATCTGAAGCATACTTTTGTTCCATCACTCTTCCCAGAAGCCAGAAATGATATTGATTATGTAAAGATTGTTCTAATATACAGTTGACAGCTGAATCTTATATATGATGTGTCAAACAATTCTATGTTGTCAAAATTGAAACTTGGTAAGAACCCTGTAAGAAATGTAAGCTGGCATAATTGAACTAATGAATTTCATTTTGAGAAGGAACCTGTGATTCTCTCCACCTGGAATCCCTTCCCAAGTCATTTTCTATGTTGTCAGCAGAAACTGATCTGTCGATTTTCCTTCGCTTGCTGCCTCTATTTGATTTATCTGATTTCTCATCAATAATTGACAACAAAGTTTGAAGACGTTTGGAACGTGAAGTAGTATTCTGACCATCCGAATCAACTGCAGCATTGGAAGTCCGGCAAAATTTACGCAGAATCTGGATGAAATATATTAGGAGAGCAATAAAGCATGCAATCCCACATATAAGAAAGAGGCCTGAAAAGCTTCTCAAGTGAAGGCGATCTGATTCAAGCTCAGCATTGTCTAAACTGCACGCACTTCTTGCTAACCACTTGTCATGTATCCTCTGGAGATCTCCATTCTCTGATAGCGTTAAAATTGCAGTTGACAAGTCGACAGCCAAGGGAGAGTCCCGAGGAAATGCCTGAATCAGAATAACAAGCACAACATGACAGAGCAAAACATGATTTCTGGATTCCGTGTCTCCAATAGATAAATAAAGAATCTATAAGCTTAATTGAAATGCAAAAACCCGACGTCAACGATTTTTACACAAATACTCAAAAAATGGTTTTAAATAGAAGTGTGCTTAGTGATATGCTACAAAAGCCTACCAATATGTCCAGGACATTAAGTTTTTAGTCAATAGAATAGAACCTTTTAAAGGGGTGACTGAATCTGAAAGTTGAAATGGACACCAATATCACGTTCACCTCAAAGACTAGATAATATTGATTTACATATATCACACACAGAATAAACTAGGCATACTCGAGTGTATTATGAATCCTACAGGACCTTCTATGAGATTCAACAACTTTTTTTTTACATGTGTTTGATCAACTCAGTCTTGGATGCATGACCAACTTACTTAATGTCAGCTTTTCCCCTTCCTGCAAAGGTGGAAGAAAGAATTGATGCTCTGAGAAGGAATTTTTTGTGGCACGGTGAGAAGGAATATAAAAGTTTCCACCTAGTCAAATGGAAGACACTGCTACTCTCCAAGAAGCAGGGAGGACTGACAATCAAAAATCATAGGAAGCAAAACAAAAGTCTTCTCATGAAGTGGTTGTGGAGATTTCCTTTAGAAGAACAATCTTTGTGGGGTAGGGTAATCCAGGCCAAATATGGGAAGGAAGGACCCTGGAAGACTAAGAAAGTGACATCCACATATGGAACCAGTTTGTGGAGATCAATTAGAAACTTATGACATGGCTTCTATGCAAAGACTGAATGTAATGTGAACAATGGGAGGAAGATCAGGTTTTGGGAAGATAACTGGTTAGGGAATGGAAGCCTCAAACGCTTGTTCCCAGATATTCATCACCTAAATCAACAACAAGACTCGATTCTTTATGAAGTTTGTTCTGAACATGGATGGAACCTTACCTACAGAAGACTGATGCAAGCCTGCTACCAAGCAGGAGCAAAAAAAGGAATATGTTGAATTGGGACAGGAAACCATCATAAGCCAGCCAACAAGCAAAACGAGTTCTCATTCATACCCTTTTCAAGAGGTATGGATTGGAGATGTGGAAGATACATTGGTCGAAGCTTCTTTCAAGAAGTTTTCATTTCTCCCTGGGAGGTGGAGAGATTGGCTGAATTTTATGGAACACTTGATCAATTCTTGGGATTCAAGGAAGGCGAAGACACTCTTAAATGGAAATGTCATAACAAAGGATTATTCATTGTTAGTTCTGCATATAGAAATATGAATCAGATGGGATCCCAAGTTAACTTTCTGCCTTGGAAGCTTATATGGAAGGTTAAAATACCATATAAAGTGGTAGTTTTTACTTTGTTGGTGGTGAAAGAGGCTATACTTACACAAGAGAATCTTATGAAGAGGGGAATACAAATGTGCCCAAGATGTTGTTTTTGTGAGCAGGTTGCAGAGACAATTAACCATTTGTTCTTACATTGTAAAGTGGTTGGCCAGCTGTGGAATTTGTTTACTAGCTTCAGAGGTATAAGTTGGACTGTTCCAGAGAGAACAAGACACGCTCTAGAAAGCTGGAATATGGAGGGCAGTGGCAGCACAGACAAGAGTAGATGGAAAATTGTCCCAGCTGTTATTTGGTGGACCATATGGAAAGAAAGGAATTCTAGTAATTATCAACAAGAGCAGCCCTCTGCACAAGATTAAAATGAACTGCATTATCACTTTTTGCTATTGGTGTATTTCAGAGTATATAGATGACCCTGTGGCTATTGTAGCTACTGTAGACATTCTAGGGTCCTTATAAAGATGAAGGAGGATCTAGCGATAGTTTTCTTTTTTCTTCTTTTCTTTTCTTTATCTTTTTGTTTATGCCAGACACACAAGTGTGGAGGGAGGATATGATGTAAATTTTTGGATACCAGCTTTGAGCTGATGATTGATATACAAATGTTGCCTTTATCTAAAAATGAAGTGCAACTCTTAATATATATAAGATATTCTTCCCAATTTTCTTCTGGTCCAGAAAACTCTAGGAAGCTACAGATCCTCTTTCATACAATATAAACCAAGGTGTACTAACAGAATTAGGATTAAGGAAAAAGAAAAGGCAGGAGGCACACGGAATGAGGAAAAAAGAAAAAACCGTAGGAATAGAAAAACTTACAAAACCCCACCCACTTTTGGTGAACTCTTGACCTACAATCCTGAATTTGCACTGGTTTGACAGGAAAAGTTCAACATATGGTCTTTCATCCACCACTGCAGCTACACCCCCTTTTGCAGGACCACGTTGAAGTGCTGTAGCATATTCTTCCGGTGATCCAAGGGGAACAAGTCTGGATTTTGGTATACCAATTTCCTCCAAATACCTTTCTGCAAAAGAACCAACTTGGTACCCGATTGGTTCATCAGTTTCTTTCAAGCTTTCGATACCTTTAATAGGAGAATATAATTGTTGCACAGTGAGGATGGAGGTCAAACTTGCTGTGTAACTTGAATTTATTATCAAAACGACAAAGAGCCATATGATCAGCACCATGCGACCAAGCGTACTTACAGTATTCTCTCCTACAGAGGAAATATCACAAAAGGTAAGAGAGTAAACATAGAATGCACCGCGAAACAATTATACTGAACTATAGTTCACTTACTGTGGGCAAAAAAGAGAGTTGAAAGGCTGAACCTGTAAGAAGAACAAACAATCGTCAGACAAATCGTCTTCTATGATAGCGAAGTTGCTCTCATTGGAAGCAGCAATCCTTCTATAACAGTGTGAACTTCTTCGAGTAATGGTTAAAAATCTATTCAAATCAAGTTCAATTGAACAATGAAGTGGACCACACTCAGTGCTCACAGAAAATTAAAGCCGTAAACCATAAGAATACTTAAAGAACCTCGGCTTTATATGTTCCCATTTTCTAAAAAAAACAATTTAGTGGAGATACATCATTATTGATAAACTATGAATTCCAGAAATCTACGAACTTTCAGACAAAGAACTATTCTATGAGCAACAACTGCATTCATAACTGATAAGGAGAACAAAGAACCATAGCTATCATGTCTGTTTTCTGAACTCATATACTATTTAAGTACAAATAGAAAGATACAATGACACATGCAAATTTTGACATAATAACAATCGTATCATCAAGAACTAATATTTATGATCCCACAATCTATGTTTTCTTGTTTAGTTAAGAGGAGAAGTAAAAAAGAACTAGCACCGTAGCAGGAATCTATGTCAAGTTCATCACAAGCACGCGTACAGAATAGTGTACGGCATGTATTCACACATGTATGGACCTATGTCACTAACATTTGTGTGTTTTTAGGCAAATACACATCCCACACCACCTCATGGGTTGGGCCTGCTCACAACCTTTTAATTAGCAGGTACCACAATGCACAGTAAATAACATGCAAGTATTGGGATTATGATGCTTCTTTTGTCAACGGACTTTGGTCTCACCATTTGGTAACTTAATATGAGAATGTTGTCACTTTGTAATGATTTTGTTATTTTGTAAAGCTAAACGATGTAAGATGGGGAAATCATCATTTTGTTGACTTAGAACATTTCATGTATGCACATAAATACATTATGAAAAACTTATTTTTCTGAAGTAGCATTTCCACTTTCTGCATGGGACTTCTGGAGGTAAGGAATTATGTCCTCCTTCATGTATTCACACTTTGGTTATTAATATACAGGGAGGGTCAATGCTACACCCTCCGCCACCACAAGGTTGACTTAACCAGAAAAAGGAAAGAGAAAGAACCTTTGATCTCACCATAGAATGGTTATCAACTGCTGTTTGGGAGGCCCACGAAATTCATCATTGGTTCGGTGCTCCAAAATCCACACTACCATCCCAACAAAGAGAAAGAAAATAGTGATAACTCCCCACATTTGAGCAGAAAAGGGTCTTAGGAAGGCCCAGCCACCGGAATTTAACTTTTGGAATGGGGCCACAACAACAAGTCCAGATGCGGCATATGGCTGAGTGAAATCGACAACTCTAGTCCGATTCGTAACTATTGCAACATCACCAACAACACCATCAAATTTCTGGGAGCACACAAAAACAATTCATTTAAAATATAGTTAAAATCGTTTAATGTTAGCATTTGTGGACATACATCCTCGCTGTCAGCATGAACTTACCCCGGTTGTGATTAGCCTCACCATATCGGTGTAGCTGGGATTTTCATGCCCGTTTCCATAGGGGACAAATTTATGTGGAACAGCATATGGCAATAAGTTTACAGCAGCAGTGAATACATCAATGCAAAAACCTTTAAAATTGTTAGTGCCTGGACTTTGAGACACAAATTCCCGGTAACTAACTCGGATGGGAACCCCTATTTTCAGTTGCTTACCATTGTTTGGAAAAACCCATCCACGAGGTTTTTGAACATTGTTTCCAGGCCACACAACACTATAAAGTTTTTGGTTTGTACTTGAACGATTAGGTGGCCTCGAGTAAAAGGTCTCGGGAGGCAAAATAGACAAACCAGAATAGTTAGACCAGTAACCAACACGTCGAAAACCTGTTCCAATTACATTTATGATATCATATGCTGGACGAATAAGAGATTTGTCTGGAATAAACTTGAAAGGCCCCGTCAAACCAACAAAATCACTCTCCAATAAGTTCTTCAGCAGAAGTGGCCCACCATCAAAAATACTCATTGCTTCAAGGTGAAGATTACTTCCTTCAACTGATTGCAACTTAGTATCATTAGAAAACGAAATGGTCCCTCCTTGATTAAAGAATGAATCTATGGCATGTGCAACTAGCCAAACCGTGTCATATGCATGAAGAGCATAGGAATTTAGCCCTAACAAACCACCTGTCAACTTGTTCCATCTGGATAAAAATGCTCTTTTATTTTCAGAGTCTGGAGTGTGTTGTCGCAAAACTAGAACTCCTTGCATGGTATCCATAGTATCTTGTGGCAGGGGAGGAGAGGAATCTAACACAGTGGTGAGCCAATCTGTGGATATCCATACATAACCATCACCCATCATTCCAAGATAATGTGCCACCGAAAGTACCATCAATCCTAAAGTACGATATGCATGTAGAACAATGACTCTAGATTCCATCAGGGCAACCTTTACCATAACATCCATAACATCACCTCGCGTAACAGTAGCTCCAGGGGAAATCCCTGCTTTATATGAGATGCGACAGCGCCTTGTTGCAAGTGCATCATCTAATGCAGAGACACCATTTCTCCCATAGTCGTCATCAATAAAAATCGCTATCACCTCCTTCCAAGCATAAAATTCAATGATCTCAGCTATTGCAGCCATCTGGTATTGATCACTTTGAGTTGTCCTAAGAAAATAAGGAAACTGAAGAGAGGAGAGTGTGGGATCAGTAGCAGCAAATGATAAGAAAGGAACTTGGAGTTCATTGGCAACATGGGATATGGTATGGGCAACTACAGAAGATTGTGGGCCTATTACTGCAACAACATCAGTCTCCATAAATGTCAAGGCTGCAAATAAAAAAAGTGTTAGTCTAGAGATTCAAATATACCCTTAAATGAGAGAATTGGGAAACTTTACTAGGCAATGTGAATCAAATTTTGAATGAATGCCAGATATTCTAATAGCACAAAACATCAGCTATCTATATCAACTGAGAATGATGAACTACAATGAGTGTTGACATTAGCAATGGCTTCCAAGCATCACTGGTTTCCTTAAAGGAGGAACTATCTTTCCTCTTGTTATTTCCTGATTCTAAAATTGCCAGCATCTAAGGCAGTGTAACGGTTATTAAAGGAAATGAACAGTGAATAAAGTACCTCCGACCATGCCAAGAAATCCACTGCAATTGGAATTTTGCAACTGCACAACAAGTTTGGTTCCTTGGAGGACGCTAGAGTTGGAATTAACATCTTTCACAGCCTCCTGAATTGCAATCTTGGCAGCTCTTCCAATTGTAGAGTCAAATGTAAAAATAGCTCCAACATTCACAACAGCAGGCCTTGAAGTGCCATTCCCACTCAACCCGTCTGAATACACTCCAAAGCATACTATACAAGAGACAATAATCCAAACCACATTCATCCTAGATGAATGATACCACAGGATCTTTGTGTGCTTAATTAGCATTCATCCTACCACTTCCTTCTACAAGATAGAATTCTCAAACAGTTAGGGTCATAGGAAAAGAGCATATCACATCAAACCTTTAGAAAATTGACATCTAAAGTATTTCAGGTTCATGAAAGATCATATCACATCAAAACTTAAATCACAAGATGGTTTCTTCCCATCTGTCCTAACCTTGGTGGATAGAATTATCTAGTATTTGTTGCAGTGGGACATGGAAGGTATCCCATGAAGCTAGTTGAGGCGCGCGGAAAAAAAAAGGTTAAAAAATTGACATCTAAATATTTTAACTCCAATACTTTAACATATTATCGGGTAAATGCCATGAGAATTGTACAAACTACAAAATCCCCACAACAACTTTATATACTAAGACTAAAGCACTCACAAAATGAAGCAAGAGCTCATGCATGTGCATAAGTGACATAACACACAAAAAAGGGGGAAAAGAAACGGTTGGCTTAAACTGAAAAAAGGAATCAGATTCTATGCTAAAATTAAAGCCCGACATAAGTACTCAATAGAGAGGAAGCATTATTGTGAACACCCAACTTTCCCGAATGAATTAAGCGTGAGAAAGAAGCAGAATAAAGCAGAGAAGGAGCCACGTTCTTTTAGCCATAACACAACAACAACAACATACCCAGTGAAATCCCACAAGTAACGTATACTGAGGGTAGAGTGTACAGAGACTTTTCCCCTATCTCCCTATCTTGTGGAGGTAGACATAACACAAGTAGAGAAAGGGAAGCCACACGGGACCACATGATCACATGGCAGCAACTTTACGGTTTGCCAAGGCCATAGACTCATAGTAACAAGCAAAGGCAAAAATTTGGGTCTGCAGATTAAGAAAACCTTGAGACAAAGAAATACACTCTTGAAGAAAAAAAAGTAGCAGACAGAGTAAAAGACAGAAGAATCAAGAATGACTAGACTATTAAAGTCAAGATTTTGAACAGACCCTTTTACCTCACAGCCAAAATCCCTTTTTTCCTGACTTGTATCTTCTTCTTGCTACTAGCAATGTTGATCAAACTGCTAAATTACTCTTTCCTTTTGCAGTTAGGAGTGACCCTTTTAATTCTTTAGCTGAAAAACCTTAAAAAGTTGCAATCTTGGTTGAGTAAAACTAGTAAAGTTCAGAACTTCGACAAATCCAGTGCTAGTTGATGACCAATTAGGCTTCACTTTGGCAAGTATATAGAGAAATTCCACCAAATAATTCTTTTATTCAAAAGCAAATAAGAAAGTAAAGATATTGGTTTTGTAAAAATGGAAAGATTGAAACTTGGGTAAGCAATCAAGAAAGAATTTATTTGATAGAGAAGGCTGAAACAGTGATGGATTAGGGTGAGACAACAAAGAAGGAAGACTCCTACAAGCACGTGAAAAAGTTTTTAAGTATTTCTTATTATTTCACAAGAGTTCAATTAATTCCGATACAAACATTACACATCATGCCACCCTTTTAACAACAAAATCTATGCTTAAAACTCAAATCCAAGAGGTTAGACAAATCCAACTATCCACCACGACTAATATGGAGTATTGTTCTAACATGAGAACAGAAAAAAATAAAGAAAGAAAGGAATTTTTTTTTTCACGCTCATTTGGGTTGTACACCAATCAGAGAAAGAATAATAGAGTTTGTGATTTGGCCAAAGCAACGAATAAAGTGTCTTTGGAATAATTTGAAGTTTTTTAATTTTTCTTTTTCATAAATTTTGAAATTATAATTTTTTGAATTTGAAGTTGTGTTTGAATTTGACCAGATATTTGAAGGAAAAAATTATAATTAAATAATTATTTAAAGATAAAATTTCAAAAATTTATCGCAAAATTAATTTATTTGTCGGGGCTACAACTATTTGAGTTACATCAAACATTCTACAACTTGCCTAAAAAAAGTACTCCATTCAATAATTGCAAATTGTATTTATTAGGAAGGAGCTCTAGCATTTGGAAAGGAGTTGTGATCACGTTTTTCTTGAAAATAATGTGTGGATGGAATTTTATTTTTTTTCTTTTTGGTTGCTACACTTATTGAGAGCTATAATTGAAGTTCAGCAAAATTTTAATTTCATATTTATATTAAAACTTATTATATAAAAATAATTTATTCAAAATTCAATAAGCAAAGAGTTATATATAATCTAAAAGATTCAAAATTATAAAATTATAATTCTTGATCTGCCATGGGAAGAGAGTTCTCCCCTTAATAGGCTTCTTAACTTAAAAAAAAAAAAAAAAGGAAAATAAGAGAGGAATCACTCTTCGAACTGTTAAATGAACAAAAAATAAATATCTTTAATTTTCCACCATCTTATTATAAAGCTTGTTCCACTATCAATAAAGAAAATAGAAGTTGTTGCTTCTAGTAGAGCTTTAATTAATTTATTTATTTCTAGAATAATTATCAAACATATACTGCAAAACATGCATACCATATTCAATTGTCAAAATTAGGTTGTTTCTTTTTCATATATCTACATCAGCATTTGCAATTGTTATTTACTTGTTTTGTTTGACTTCTTTTTTCGTTTTGTTTTTTTGTTCGTGTTCCTTTTTTTCTTTGCATTTAATAATGAATAAATTATATTAATTAAATGAATAAAAAAATAATTGGTTTAAACTATAGCAATTACAATCACTCAATAAAGGTGTTCGCCTTTATTTGGAATTAATCTAGACGATAAAGATTGGGGATTTTGAACATTGATATAGCTAAAAGTCGCATACAAAAGAAATGAAAAGCAAACTTTTCACATGGTTTGAGGTGGATTAGTGCGTATTCGTTTAGACAACGATGAATGATGTCAACCAACTCGATAAAGACACGATTAATTGCAAGTTCACAAGCTTGACAAATGTAGAGTATATTTAGAAAAAATAGAATAAATAAATGTCTACGATAATTTAATGTCAAGAACCATATATTTTCTTTTAAACATTAATAACTTGAAATTTTTCATTCTATTTTTATATTTTGCAACAAAACAGAATAAAGGCCAGAATATCATTAATTTATAAATATTAATATATAGTAATACTCCTTTAGACTAATTTCATTTCCAAATTTCTCACTAATTTCAAATCATTAAAAATATATTATCTCATTTAATTATTTCAATCAAAATTATTTGTATTAACAATAAAAAAGTAGTATATTTTATGCAATTAGTTTAACTATATACTTCACAATTATTCATGATTATGCATTTACACTTTTTCTTTTTTTCACATTCACTATTCATTTCATACTAATTTACTTCGCACAATTATAATTTTATTTTCATTTTAATTTATTGGATATAGTTGAAATTTCAACCATCAATCAAGTATATACTTCAAAGCTTTAATGCTCAAATTTATAATTAAAAGTTTGAATCTCGAAATTTTAATATTGCATGAATTTACTATTCACTAGTGAATGACGTAAAATGTCATGTTCTTTGGTCTGAAAGAAAAGCCGTTTTTTAATAATCATTGTCCAGGAAGTGCCGGTTACCAACCGCAAATGTTGTGCCTTTATTTTCTCAGTTGGATTTAGGGTCTCCATTTTTAGCAATTTCCATTCTTGGTTTCACCCCTTTACTTCCCAAAAAAGGCTAATCATCTGTGACTTCCATCAAAATTTCCTTTTTGGGTGTCCACTTCAGATCATTCTGGTAATTTAGATTCAACTTTTGATTATGAACTGAAGTTTGTTCATAAAGATCTATGTGCTAATTAGACTTATGGGTTTCTATTTTTGTTTGTTTTTCTTAAGTTGGTTTGCTTCCTATGGTTATTTTGCTTTGTGGGTTTGGTGAAATTTACTGAAATTATTGATCTTTGCTGCTTGTGGTGATTCCATGACAAAAAGGGGTTTCATTTCTGTTTATTTTGATTCTTGAATTGTTGCAATTTTAGAGCTTGGGGAGTTTACAAAGGTAGTTGAGGGTATATGGGAAACAACATATATACCTTGTAGGATAAGATCTGTGTACACACTATCCTTACACCCCCACTTGTGGGATTATTGTTGTGGAGTTAAAAAGGGTCTTTTTGGGTAAGGGAAGGGAAATGGGGAAGGGATTACAAGGTGGGTACCGGTTAAAACAAATTGAGCTACTAAGATTTTCCATTTAGAACGGTCTTGAATTTGTAATCGAACCAAAGATTGAAGCTTTTTGTTTTTGTAGGACTGCTAAAGGTTTAACCTTGACAATTATTGTACTGCAAATTGTTCTCTCTCTTTTTGCCCTTTTACGAGTGATTGATTATCCTTTTTGCATTTTTTGAGGTTTAGCTTTCCGTGGATAAGAATCTCTGAGGCTATTGAATTTATGCTCTGGGAATGCATATGGCTGCCTATACAGATTTTTCACCACCATTTGCTATAGTAGAAGGGAGTTACAGTAAGGAGAATACATCTGCTGTTACAGATGAATTACTAGAGGGATCAAATGAACTAAAGACGACGAGTGATAAGCAACTACGAGATCCTTCTGTTGTACGGTATTCAGTGAACTCTACTGCACTTGTAGCAGACACTGATTTGGTAAGTGGAAAGTGTTAAAGCTTGGTAGTGATCTTATCTCAGCATCTTGTTGCGTGTTTGTATCCCTTGTTGTGCTTGATAATACTCCCTCCGTTTCATTTTGTTTGTTTGGTTTTGACTTGGCAGTTCGCACGGAATTTAAGAAAGTAAAAAACTTTTGAATCGTATAATCTTATACTAAAAGATGTGTATAATGTACCAAAATATCCTTTGGTCTTAAACATGCTATGTGGAAAGTTGAAATTGAAGAGTTGCCAAAAAAGGAAAGAGGCATTCCTTTTTAAATGGACTAAAAAGGGAAGTAAGACAAACATATTGAAACGGAGGGAGTACTATTTATGAAACAGTTTAGTTTTAGTGAGAATTCAGTTAGTGGTTAGATTTATGGAAGTCAAAGACAGTTTAATTGGATTCCTTGTTGTGCTTGATACTAGTATTTAGAAAACAGTTTAGTTTTTAGCAGAAAAAACAATCTCTGCGCAAGTAATGCAGCTTTTGATTGGTGGTAGTAAACTAATATGCATAGAGGAAACGACAGATAGAATGTAGAATAAGAATACATGTATTAGTCATACGTGGATAAGCATATCTAAAGACAAATCGCTGCATAACATTCTACATGTTATTATTCATTGCATAACAATTCCTACAATTTTGCCCATGCATTATAATCTTTACGTAACTAGTATGAGAACCAAATGACTCCTAAGATCTAGATTGCATGATTAAAGCAATTTATTAGTTGATCTGCCTGAGTACGCAACATTTAAGTTCCCCATGCCTTCCGTTTTTTTTTTTTGTTTTTTTTTTTTTGGATGGGGGTATTTTATCAAGATCGAAGCTATAAAAGTTGTAGCAGTTAATCTCTTTATCTGCTAATAACTACATTAACAACTCCCCTTGAATTTGCTTCCTTTTCCATCCTTTTGATTTTTCAAACTTTGTTGTTTGTACATTATTAAGATCATGCAGCTAATATTATTTTTCTTACATCTACTAGGATTTTGAAATAACTGAGAAGGGTTTCCAACACCCTTCAGAGGGACAATCAAACTTTGAACCAATATTTCGTTCTGGAAGTTGTGCTGAGAAAGGACCCAAACAGTACATGGAGGATGAACATGTCTGTATAGATGATCTAGTCATACATGTTAATGAAATTGCAGGTTCCGCTTCCCCTGCAGCGTTCTATGGGGTTTGTAGCTTTTGCACTTCATTTGTTTATGCATTTTTGCATACGTTGTAGATAGGAATACCCATATAATGTGCTATGTGTAGTTATGTTTCACCCTAAATGAGTTACTCTTTTGTGTTGGTTGTGTTCCTCTCATTGAATAGCTTGTGATGCAATTCATTTCAGAATTTAAGTTTGATTCAATACAGCCATTTAAAGAAGGCTTAAGTTACTTAGGGCAGATTCCCCTCACTGAATCAATCAAAATCTGACAACGGAGAATTCAAGGGGGCCTGTTGGCCTTTGTTTTCTATAGTTAGTGAGATAACAAGTGTGAAACGAACTTCGTAAAATGGAAAAATGAATGGCGAAGGATAGATAGAGGTCTAAAGTGTACAAAACAAGATAGACAAGAATTAGGAGCTTGTTTGGGCTTTTTGAGCGCTCAGCAGTATCAACTATCAAGTGAATGGTGACTTAGAAGGAAATGCAGTATGGATTGCTCCTTAGAAGGCTTCATGGGATCTATGATGTTCTTCAAGTGTGCAACATGTCCTCCATCTAAACTAATTTTAAATTTTCCTAGTCCGTAAAAGTATCAAACGAACTCTTCAAGCTTGTCTGGAAATATACTCTTAACATACTTAAATTACCAAAAGATTTATTCTGTTCAAAATGCAGTAGGCTTTTTGGATGCATATGCCTAGGGAAAAGTCAAACTATGAAGACCTATCTGCTCTTGACACTTTGCTGAAGTACCACTGAAGCTGAGGATTCCTGAAAAAAAAGAAAATCAATAATGGAACTCTAAAAGTGACCGTAGTTCAATTTAAGAAAGATAACGGCAACTCAAATTTTAGTGTGCATACAGGTGGTAATTTATTTAGGCTTCATGCAAAATTATAATATTTGTAAATTTACTTTTTTTATGTTTGCTTATCCCAAATAACTCAGGAGTTAGGATTGAGGTGTAGCTGATTGATTGATTGCTTTGCTGTGTATCTCATGGATTGTTCCGTAAATGATATGCACCTAGTTTTCTTTTTGTTTCTCGATTAAGCTGTGTCAATTGGTCCTTGCACCGTTACTTGTACCTCCCATTATCGGTATGATTTAGTAATAACTCTGTTACTAATACCTCACAGGTCTTTGATGGCCATGGGGGTACTGATGCCTCATTATTTGTGAGGAATAATATTCTCAAGTTCATAATGGAGGACCCCTGTTTTCCCATGTGTTTAGAGAAGGCACTCAAGAATGCTTTTCTGAAAGCTGACTATGCCTTTGCCGACGATAGTTCTATCGACATATCCTCTGGCACCACAGCATTGACAGCTCTAATGTTTGGAAGGTAAGTAGATCTTCTGTTTCTTGTTTTCATATTTCTTGTCTAAATTATTTCCTAGAACAATGCAATATACTTGCTGAAGGGAAAAATAAGAAGATTGGCTGCCATCTTGTTTGGTTTGGTCTTTTATGTTTACTAGAAGCATGAAGGCAAATACACATATTTAGTTCCGTTCTTCTGGGCTATTTCTCCTTGTGAAGCTTAATACGTATAACTGCTCTGGTTTCCATTTCATGTTGAAACTGCAGATGCGATCATGCCAACATTTTGAACTATTACTCCGTTTCAATTTCTTTGTGGTTTTGACTTTGACACAGAATTTGAGAAAGTAAACAAGATTTTTGAAACTTGTGGTCTTAAACTAAAGAATGTAGAATGTACCAAAATGAAAGGGTCATTCCTTTTGAAACGGATTAAAAAGGAAAGTACGACAAACAAATTGAAACGGAAGGAGTAGAATGAGCTGAATTTGTTTTCATGAAATATTTTCTGAATGCGTAGTCTGTTCTCTTCTTCTCCACAATCCACATTAACTGCTGATGACAACATTCCTTATGTTTCTGATCATTATGAGTTTTTTGCACTCTTTGATGTAATTCAAATTTCTCTTCAAACAGGATTTGGTACTGTATAGTTTGTAGTGTGATATGATTTGTTTTGCAGAAACATGATCGTTGCTAATGCAGGGGATTGTCGTGCTGTGCTAGGGAAACGAGGTAAAGCCATTGAGTTGTCTAAGGACCACAAACCAAATAGCGCATCTGAAAGGCATCGAATAGAAAAACTTGGAGGAGTCATATATGACGGATACTTAAACGGACAGTTATCTATAGCACGTGCCTTGGGAGATTGGCACATGAAAGGCCCAAAAGGTTCTGCCTACCCCTTGAGTGCAGAGCCGGAGTTGCAGGAAACATTGTTAACCGAGGATGATGAGTTCCTAATCATGGGTTGTGATGGTCTTTGGGATGTTATGAGCAGCCAATGTGCTGTTACGATGGCCAGGAAAGAACTCATGCTACATAATGACCCAGAAAGATGTTCAAGAGAACTGGTAAGGGAAGCCCTCAAGCGCAACACATGTGATAACTTAACAGTCATTGTAATTTGTTTTTCTCCTGATCCTCCACCTAGGATTGAAATTCCTCCTACTCGAATATGTAGAAGCATATCAGTTGAAGGACTAAATCTTCTAAAAAGTGTACTGGAAAGCAACTCGTGACAAAATCCTGGGAAATGAATTGCCTACTGGTATAACTCCACACTCTCGGGGACTCACGTTAGCTTCCTCGTTTCAACGTTTCACTTGCTTAGCTTATCGTAGTTTCTGAAAGCCTGTATATTGGAAATGTGTTGTATCACTATAAGATTAGTGTGTGTGCTCCAGCTGCATTTCTTGTGTTGTACAGATTCAAGAAAGCAACTTGTTTATTGTCCTTCTACTGCTTGTATGTTGGATTAGTACTGCATTTTGTAAATTTCAAGTTTGTTGGATGTGTGATTAGTAAATGCCAACTTAAATTATGTTATCTAGCAGGAGATCAGAAATGAAATACCTATTAAGAAAACCATTTAACATGTTTGATCACAAGGGGTGTTTGACCAAATTATGCTTCTGTGATCCGTCTTTCCTTAAATGAGTAATTGATGACTATAAGATCAATATTATAATCAAGGAGGGTAACCAAGTTTCATTTGTATCGTTGAACTAAGAGACTATTTTGTTATTGGATTTTCAACAAAGATTTTCTTATAGATTGTCGTGCTGTGTGCTGGGAAACAAGGTAGAGCCATTGAGTTGTCTATGGACCGTAAACCAAACACTTCATAGCAATTCCTCCCATCTTTTGAAGGACTGAATCTTCTAAAAAGGTCTAATGGATAGCAACTCATGACAAGATTCTTGGAAATGAATGATGTGCCATACCAGTATAGCTCCACCCTCATTCTCATTTTAGTTTTTAATGGCATGTATATTGGAAATGTGTTTTATGTATCGATACAAGATTTCTGTGTGCGCTTCAGCTGCATTTCTTGTCATGTGTTGAAGAACCAACTTGTTTATCTTCCACTGCTTGTTGGATTAGTGCTTTTTGTCTCATAATTTTCAAGTTCGTTGGACCTGCGAATCAGTAAATGTTGCACACTTTTCAAACTACAAACATTTGCTGTGCTCCAACAAGTGAGCTCTTGGAATAATTACTGTATGAAGCTTGGTAGAACATTTAAAATATTAGTGTGAAATGTTTCAAGTGGAATAATTAATCTGTAAGACAAATACAACGTAAGATTATGTTGTACCATCTTCTATTTGCTTAAAAATATCAACTTTCATAATGGCTAGACTTAAAACATGTCCATCACTTTACCAATTCGAAATTCAGCTAAAACAGAAAATAGATTAATATAAGAAGAAATAAGGACGCAAATGATAGTACAGATATTGTTCATCGATAAAATTAGTTAATCTTGAGTACAACATGTGATGACTGACTGATACATGGTCCAATAAAAAGAGGGAAGAACATGTATGTTGTATTAAGTAAAGATATCAGAAGAAATATGAGGACGTAAAAAACTGTTTCTACTTCTATCAAACTCATCTGCTTTCATGGTTCACGAATAGGGACAATCTTCTTTCTATACCCCCCCACAACCAGTCACGGAAACAAAAGTCAAAGTTCTCGGTCTGTATCTTCGTCTTCATCATCTACTGCCTTATTGGAGCTGCTGCACAAATGTAGACACTTATTAATCACTATAAATGTGAAAATGCTTAGAAGATGTCTAACACATAACATGATAAAGAAACTAATTACCTTGTCCCCTTGCAATAGTTGCTGAGATCTTCACATAATACCTTGGTTACATCTCCAACTTTGACAGATCCTTTCTTTATCAACTCTGCCAACTGTTATTTACAGGACAACATTAGTGTAATAGGCAATAGTTCATCATTAGTGTAGTATAAAGAGGATAAGGTAGCTTTAAACCACGAGGAAGCATCATTGCTGTAGGAAAATCATCTTACCTCATCTTCAGTTTGCTCGAGTAACCTGGCCACGTAAACACATTGTTAAAGTGTATTATAGTTAGAGTAGAAATAGAACAGAAGTAGAAATTTCACTGTAGCTAAGAGGAGTAAGTGGTTCCTCTCTTACCTTCCACAAAAGGATGACATAGCTTTTGAATGTGCTCGAGCTTCTTGCTTATCTATCAAGGAATTAAAAAAAAAATAGGCAAAACATTAACATTGAAGATCTCTGTAAACTCTAATACATAAAAACCAAGGATGATTTACGGAGGAAATTGATAACTTATTCCTGTTCTCAGTGCACTCATAAATGAGAATTCAGTTATTGGTTCGGGCAATAAGAAATTGTTAGGTCTAGCCTAGAACAGTGGTATCATAATCATGTTCCCAGTTTCCAAGCTGTTAGAACATACCCCCAAGCTACCTATGTGTAAATGAATGAAAAGAATTTAAAAAGAGAAGATCTTTGACTTGTGAACTAAGAACATGCTAGATCATCCCCACAACACAAATGACAAGGTATTATGTTATTCACATGAATGTACGTCATGTATGATGTGTAATTTGGCAGCTAGAACTATAATGAGTCTGGACTCTGGCTGAGGTTTGTGCTTCAAAACAGAATTGAGTGTGAGAGATAAAAAATCTCATGTCCACAAAATACTCAAGTCCATCAACAATTAACATTATGCTTAACTCGTCCAGAGAGATGAACCAGTATATATAGAGAGAGAATATGGTGCTCACAGACATTCAACTCTACAAGACATGATATCCAAAAGTTAATTTAGCAGGAAGATAGCAGATGAGGGCCTTGCGGGTAGACAGAAAACTAGGTATAGGACCTTCTAAGAAATTTATATTTCAACTCTCAATATTAGCAACATTAGCAGTCCAGTTATAAAAATGAAAAAGTGTACCAAAAAGGGGAAGAAATGAAGTCATGAGACTTACTAGTCTTGAGAAGGTCCCAATTGTTTACTTTGATCCACGTGTTGGTGCTTGAATCCACCTAGCAGGCAAAAGGGAAAATCATTAGCATTAAAGAAACATTTCACTCAACTAATGGTGAGCATAAAGTGTACAAACCTTTTATTTATTTCAAAGTTTAGGTTTGATTCAATTGTGTCAATTAATACAGTTCCTGTTCTTTTGTTTTAAAAATAACATATAGCGATGAGAAACTAGAAAAACTTCAAGGAAAGGCTACCTTCTCCAGTGTATAATCTTGCATCTTTTCACAGAGGTCATCTAAGAGTTCAACAACTCGCAACTCACTGCCTCTGCTTGAAGAAATAAATAAAAAAAGTTACTAAAATCACACAAGTATAGACTTTTATATGCATGTCAACTCAACAACAGGGAAAAAAGATTGTGCAACTGCAAGTCAGCAATATGGAATTCCCAGCACTCTATAAGTGGTTACTCCTAGCAGCTCAAGGAATCTGGCCATCGGGGGAAGGGGGAATTAGAAGTGAGTCAAGAAGGGAAGGAGGGAAGGTAAAAAGAAGAGGAAAGAGAGCAATGACAATCTAAGAGCAGTGAGAGGCCAACGTGAAACGGAAGGGATTATCAGACCCTTAAAATTGGATCAGCGGAAAGAGAGGAAAAATATGCATGAGTGATAACTTGCTTTTAGTATAATTAAAAAGAAAAAAACTGACTGTAGTTCCAAGGGTAAAGTTGGTAATGCACCAAATTATCTATGCTCCCCACCTACTCATCTTCTGGAACTCATAATATGAACAACTTCTTGTAAACATCAAATAATTGTGTTGAAACTTGAGACCACTCTTCTCATATGTCTATTCTCGTAGATCCAAGCTGATGCTTACCTTTTGTTCAAATAACGAACATCTAATAAGGGCTTGATTCAGGTTATATTTTTCGTACAAGTTTTTCTAAATGAAAATGGGAACAAAAGCTTTTTGAGAATGGGGAAAGGGGAAGAAAAGTATAAACTTTATGCAAGTACAGTTCCTAGAAAATGACATATGCAATACCCTTAGAAAGAGTGGATATGGTATGAGCAAATAACACAAGCAGAAAGATCAATAAGCATGTTCAAACTGGAAGAAGTATCTATAATACAGTTCCTTCAGGGAAGAAAGCCAATACTCTTTAACTCTTTAACCTGAAAGTTGATAGGATATAGAGAAATATGTTTGAACTGTGACCTAGATTGGTTCTTAAATACAACTGGGTAACAGATATTGAAGTTGTAACAAAAAGAGAAAGAATAAAGCAATTAGGAACTGATGTAAGCAAGGACCCTATTAATCAATAAGGTGATCATAAATATTTGACCTGTAATCAATAAGTTTCCCTTCACGCTGACCTTTAGAATCCAAGCGATGTCTCATGTCTAGATGGTTTCTTGGCTTTTCCTATAAAATATACACATATTAGCCCAGTGAAAATGTCAAAGAATAGACATGAAATTATACTACTTTAAATAAGTGAAAATAAGAAGACAACTTGAACAGAACATGTTTTACTTCTGATGTATAATGTATTGTCCTAGTAATCAGTTATTTTGGCGCTTTGATTTTAAAAAGTTCTATAAAACTATTGATACCACTACTACTATATCCTCTTTCTCAAGGAGTTCGCCATGTAGGTGATTCTGCATTTGATTCTTCCATCTTTTTTAGAAGCTTGCTTACAGTAAATTGCAGTTTCAAAAACCCAACTTTATGATTGGTCACAGTAGCCAAGAAATAAGGATATCACTGCATGCGACATTTTATTAACAACTTTTCGTCTCAAAAGTGAATCAATTTTGGCATTGGCACAACTTAAGAGTCTTACTTCACCATGTATAAATCATGTACACAAACATAAGCTAGTGAGATACAAAGAAAGGAGCAGTTCAAACATTTCAGAATGGCGAGCAACATATCATCTGTCTTCCAAAAACATCAAATTTTGACTAAGCACAACTTCAAACATTTTCACCTCATTATAAGGAGTAGTTCTCAGTTCAAGGCAGGATTCATATCCATTTATACAAATCATGCTAGAAGAAGCTAAATATCTCCATTTTTAACCTATAGTAAGATACCATCACAGCAAAAAGTTACAATGATTTATTTTTCTTCCTTTTTCATATTCCTGATAGATTGAGCTATGAAAAACTTCTACAAGGTAAAATATACAACAAAAGAGAGAAAGATCACCGAAGCAACATGGTTTTCTTACTTTCAATAGTCCATGCTCTAGCTCCTCCTGAGAATCATGAAAACAAACGAGTCAGATCCAAATCAGGCACAACAAGTGAATCAGCTGTCAAGTATATACAATTTTTTGCTTTCACATTACTTCGAGCATACAACAATCAATCAAGTACTACTTCTCAATCACAAATTAGTCGGCGTCCACTGTATCCAATAATTAGTCTTCAATCGAATTCAAGGTTCTATAAAATAAGTTAGAGTGAATCTATACACATTGGCGTAAAGAGAGTGTAAATACTTACAGCAATGGCGGAACAAGCAGAACATTTCTCTTCGATGCAGAGCGCAGCTTGTAAAACAGATAAGAAAACAATAACAACAATCAAAATAATAGATCTCGTATACAGCTTAATCGCCATTTGCCCGATTTCTCCGTCTTCCTGCCAACTTCTGCCGGTACCGGAATCGCAGAAGCTATGTACAAGTATTTGAATGAGAACGGCGGTCCACGTCATCGGCGGGCATTGGTGTCATTATCCAATCAGAGTGAGCCACGTTTGCTTTTTTTTTTATTCGATTAACCACGTCGGATTCAACTCGTTGGCATTTCGTTTTCTTTCCCTTTTTGCTCTTATGTTATTCAAATAATATCTAATAAATTGAGTTGATATTAAAAACATCATGTACTTTACTATCTGATTGTATAATTTAGTTTAAAATATAGTAAGTTTTTTCCTTCGTTTGGTGTGAGGGATAAGAATAGATAATCCTGGGATGTATTTAAAAATACACCTAAGAAAAAATTTAGATGTCTTGTTTGGTTGGCATGTTTGGGATAACTTATCCACCAATAGTGATTGGATAAGTTATCCCAGGATAACTAATCCAAGATAGTTAATCCTGGAATAACTAGTTCCCAACCAAATGACCCCTAAAGGTGTTAAATTTATAGAAAAATTATGTTGCGTTGTTATTTAAATATTGCTCTATATATCTCTATTCGAGTATGAAGAATTAGAAGTTAACTTTATTAACTTTGTCTACCTTCTTGTTCTTCAACGAAAATTCCTCATGTGCTTAAATTAACAAATTTGTAAAATGATATTTTATTGTTTATAGTTGTAGAATTGTGGAGGATGATTTTGCGACTTCGAATAGTTTTGTGAGACTGTTTTATATGTCCATGGATCACTAGATCAATATGTTGAGAAAGTCATGACTATTTAAACAATTGTTATTAGGAAACTTCTTGAATATGTTATCAGTAATAGTCTAATAGATCGAAGGATATGAAGGTGCTAAAAATGTAATTGCTATTAAAACTTGCTTATAGGTTCGATTTGATGATTAAGTTAAAGTTAAACAATTTAACCTTAATAATTCATGAGAATTATCACTTAATATTTAATAATAATTCTGTATGAAAAATATATATACCTATTTTATTGTTCATTAATTCCACTACCACGCATTTTGGATCAAGTGGGCTACTACTAATCTTTGTTGGTTAAGTGTCCTAATCACTTGCCACCTACACAAATTGACAAACATAAACCCAAACTCATAAACAAACAATATTAGATTGGATTGTAAAAACTATTTTTGTCAAAAAAATAATCCTTTTTTAGTTGGTGCATTGATGTTAAATAGTAAAACGTGAACATGATTCTCGACAATTATTAGAGAAATTTTAGTAAAATCTTATAATTGTTATTTGTTACTTTCAATTCTGTTTGAAAATAGAGTTTAACTAATGTTCACGAATAATGTAAAATTATACTATCAAGACATTTATATCCATCGTGTCATGTAACATGTTTTATTTATAAGATTATAAAATGAAAGACTGTCTATTAACTTTTATTGGATATCATGATAATGCAAAATATTATTTACACTAATATCTTGAAAGGTGTTTTAAAACAAACGTCAAGTAAAAAATTAGATATGTTATTCTTTTATTTCTTATTTGGTATTGAATATTTGTTTTGTGACACGTTTTATTCGAATTTATGTTGAAAAGACCAAGTTAAGACAAGACACTTCCTACGTAGATTTTTTTAATAAACAATTCAAGAATTAAAATCTCATTTCTATCAAAAACTGAAAAATTATGCAACTAATTACTTGTTAAACACTTCCATAACCAAACATCAAGGATCCCATAGTAGCCTTTTATGATTAAAAACTAACTACTACTATAATTTTATTGCCTAATTGTCCTAATCACTTGCCACCTAAAAAGAAATACTCAAAACCCTAAAAGAAGGAAAAATACATTGGATAAAAAGTATTATAAATAAATATTAATATTTCAAATACTCTTTTTGTGGTAGGTGCATTTATTAAATTCAAAATAATTGGCAATTGCACTTACTTACTCATCCTATTAAATGGAATTGATTTTTCAATTGAAAGTTTTCCTCTTTTACTTCCATTTAATTCATAATAAATTATTGTATGAAGAGTCCAATGAAAACTTATTTTTGTCTCTTTTTTCTCTCTTTTTTTCTTCAATTTTATTATTATATATTATTAATTGAAACATCAATGTATAAAATTTCTAGGTCCCATTTGAACAATTTTATTGGAAATGTTTTTTTTTTTAGAACACGTTGGAAATGCAAGGAAAAATGTGTGCCTACAAACTCTTTTTCAACGAAATGTTTTTATATTTATAAATAAATAGTGTCTCGAGCCAACAAATATAGAGTATGGAAATTAGTTACATTTACATTTAACATAGATTATATTTTTAAAAAGAATAATGAATTATGAGAAAATGGAAAAAGAAAAGAGATATTAGAACCTCCTTTGACCTTTGTCCAATTCAATTTAGGTGAGATTCAACTCTTGGTCATAAATTTTGAAATTAAAATTTAAAAAATTGAGTTTTCGAAGTAATATTTGAAAATGTATTTTACTTTTAAAGTTTTGTTAGTGAAAGTTCCAAAATGACAACTTGAAAATATTTAAAGATTAGATTTTTAAAATCTGATGTATTTGAAGAAAAAAATTCAAAATTTATAGTCAAACGTTAATCCAAACTATGTAAATTTTTGTTATATTTTGAAATATATATGTTCTTATTATATTAACACATAAATAATTGAAACTTATATAATATTTTTGTAATAGCCTTTAATATTTTAATATAAGATTTCCTTAACTCTTTAATAACAAAAAAAAAATCACATAAATTAAGACATGAATAACCCTTCAAAACCAATAAAGAAAAAAACAAAAGGCAGATAGCGCAGTGAATGTGGAAAAGAGAGGGGTCGCTTTTGTATTTGCTGTTTTGTATAAAATTATAATCTGAGCTAACTTTACTAAATTCATTCTCAACCAACACAAATATATATATATAAAAAAGTATACTGCTCCATCTTCATCTACTTGGAATGATAATTAGGTTCTTACCTATTTTGATTACAATTTGTGGGGTTTCCTTTTTAACATTCTTTCACATGAGGACCATTTCATCTTTTTGTTGTTGATCCATTCTTGCTTCACTCAGCTTAAAGATGCTTTCTTTTTTTATATGACAACAAGATCTCATTTGGGGTTCTGATTTTTCTTCTTTATCTGAGAAAAAAATGAATCTTGATTCTTGATTGTGGATCCAAATGGTCTATGGAGCTCAAATGACTTGATTAAAGAGGTTTGCTAACATGGTTTCTGTCCCTTTTCCTTTTTCTCCATTTGGGTATGTAGCTATGTTTCTAGTTTTAAGATTTGTTTGTGATAAAGTTTTGATCTTGTGAGTTCTACAGTATGGTTTTAGCTCATGTATGTCTATGTTTTTGAGCTTATTTTGTCTTTGTGCTGTCTAAGCTTTTGGATTTGCTTTATCTGTTTTTTAGCTGTTTCTTTTTGTCCTGGGGTGGGTGGTTGAATGGATTCTGATTATTGGAGATTCAATTGATTTTCTAGGTTAAGGGATTAGGGATGGATACTGGAAGATAATCCAGGTAGAAAAATATTCTATGAAAAAAGAATGAAATTTGAAGCATCATTGTTCATTTTAACCTAAAAATTGTGTCTTTGCAATGTATAGGAGGTCTTTCTTTAGATTCCTAGTGGCTGTAATGAAAGTATGAGTCTTATATTTTGATCACACTCTTGAAAAGGGGATCTTCATTCATTTGTTAGTACCTAGGACTAGGTGTAGATTTTCCGGGCTTTTGTGCTTCTCTACTTTAAGGTGTATGAGTTTGAGGAGTTATATTTGTCATTGCTTCAAGAAAGTTTAGGTGTCTGCAAACAAGATAGAAGAACAAAAAGGGATTATTTTGGGGTATGAAGAGGTTGCTTTGTTTATTGGTATGAGCAAGAATGACTTATTTATACTATATATTTAAAATGAACTATTCATAAAAAGAAATCTTTTTGTGTGATTATGTGTATTCTATATTTACTTACATTACCAATTGTGAATTCTTGGTCATTGTCATTGAGATTCATGTCAATTTGGGTTATTATTTTGGCATATAGATATTACCTCTTTTTTTTCTCCTTTCAAACAAAGAAAATGATTGTGTGATGTTGGTGCTTCGTGTGTATTTGAAGAAGTATCTAGGACTTGAATTTCCAACAACTTGTCAATTTATGTTACAAACGTTCCACATTATGATCATTAAACAGTGGAAAGGAATCAGTGATATATTGACTTAGTCTTTTTTAATACTGTTGTAGGATAATAAGATGACATCAGAAAGATTAACAGGAGAAGAATCTCTTCAACAAGATCTGGAGTCTTTAAGCGTGTCTAAAAGGTTAGTCAGAAGTGTGAGCCAAAAGTTGAAAAAGAAGAACCATAGAAGTGGAGGAGAAGAAGAGGATGATAGCAAGGGTATTTCCTTGAGATGTCTAACGCTATATGGCAGAGGGGGTGGTTGCAAAGTGGGTGCTGACACTGGTGACGACCTAGGGGATTCATGCGGTAGAAGAAGATCAAATGCAAGTGAGGAAGGCAAAGGGTACAACCCGATATGTGGAAATGAAGAAACGTCAGTAGATTGCTTCTCTTATGGGATGAGGGAAAAATTCTGGAGGAGGTCTAATAGGAAATCTCTAGAGCTTGAAGCAGCACTCCAGAACAAAAGCATGAATGTGTTTTTGCCAGATGATATCCTCGAAATGTGCTTATTGAGGCTTCCATTTATAAGTCTCGTGAATGCTAGGATGGTCTGCAAGAAATGGAGAAACTTGACAATGACACCTCGTTTCTGGCGAATGAGGCAGGAAGGTTCATTCCAGAGTCCATGGTTGTTTCTTTTTGGGGTTGTAAAAGATGGCTGTTGTTCTGCAGAAATACATGCATTTGATGTTTCCTTCAACCAATGGCACAAAATGAATTCTGAAGTTCTGAAAGGGAGGTTTTTATTCTCTGTTGCTGGTATCCATGATGATGTTTACGTTGTTGGAGGTTGTTCTAGCCTTGCTAACTTTGGGAAGGTTGATAAGAGCTCATTCAAGACACATAAAAGTGTGCTCGTTTTTTGTCCCTTGATGAGAACGTGGCGTAAAGCTGCACCGATGAAGCATGCAAGATCATCCCCTATTTTAGGAACTTATGAGATCAGTTCAGATTGTTTAATTATTAGGAATCAACAAACTCG